AGAAAGAAATTCAGTGTGCTAGGAGCCTTGAAAGGAATTTGGAACATATTGTTTACTGGATGTTAGCAGCTACTTGAAATTGAACTTTTTCTGTGTGTATACATTACCATCCTCCAATCCCACAGGAATTATACACAAATATCCAGCTCTACTGATGGAAAACATGACAGAGTGCATTTGGCAAAGATTTTTCATTCAGTACCGACTTCCCTGCCAGGAGGTTTTGAGGCTCATGTAGCATTGTTCATGTGGCACCTACCCTTCTGCAAAACATCAGTGTTGCTGAAAAAGCTTCCTGATTACATCATCCCTTTTCATTTTCTTACCAATTAGTAAAGGCTTCCTCATGGTGAGAAAAAGGTAGGATTGTTTGTCTCAGTCACATTAAATATTCTCGCACAGCCTCCTGTCTTAATTCTAATGGTTTATTGGCAAAACTCGTAACACATTTAATGTGACCAAGAATGGGCCTAAAATACTGATTTTCTGCTTTTCCTATTTGCACATATTCAACATTTCCACAGGAGAGGCAAGACCCCTGCACAGCAAATGGAAGCTTAGAAAAGCCTCTGTTTCATTAACTGCCTTTCACAGACTCCTGGTTAAAAAACATTGTTCTGAACCATTACACCCCATAGCTTAGCTTGTGCAACATTTGCCCCTATGAAGGCAGCAAACTAGTCCTCTGCAAAATTATTGTGCATTATTTGGCCCATAATGATTTTGTAAGTAGGTATTCATAAAATCTATCACACAATAAAGGGAAGGACTTCTTCCCTGCAAAACTAGAGACAATTGTCCATGCCACCACACTCTCAGGGTACCTCACAGTCTCTAGGGCACTAATGCCCACTGCATATGAATATATGCTATACTCATTTTTAACAGCAGAGAAATGAAGAGCCGGGAATACATTCCTAGACATATTCAGAAGCCTAATTCCAGCAGAAGCAGAACCGCACCAGAGTGCGGAGTGGAGAGAAATAAGAGTTCTCTCTTCACAGTGGAGAGAAATAAGCTTCACAAAGGGGGATGCAGAGGAAGATGCTCATGTATTCTAAATACCCTACAGATCCCTGAGGATCCTGTAGAGACTGTGGCTCGTGGAGGACATATGTCAGGGCAGGAACACCCCCAAGAGAGCGTGGCCGCAGGAGGCCCACGTAAGGGCAGGAACATCCCTGAAGGACTGTGCCTTGTGTGCAACCCACATGGAGCAGGGACACCCCTGAGGGACATGCCCATGAGCAACCCATAGTGGGGCAGGCACACCCTCAAGGGACTGCAGCCTGCAGGTGACTCACGCTGGGACAGGGACACCCCGAGGGACTGCAGCCCATGGAGGACCCACACCAGGACAGGGACATGGGCGATCCATGCTGGGGTAGGGACACCCCCAAGGGATTGCAGCCACAGGCATCCCATGCCAGGGCAGGGACACTAACAAACAGAGCAGCAGGAAAACCTGAAGCAAGAAAGAGCAGCAGAGAAAATGAATAAGAAGCAAAGAGCAGCAAAGAAAGAAGCAAAGTGCAGCAGAAAGAAAGCAATAAACAAAAGAGCAGGTGAAAGAAATGGTTACGCACACGACTCCAAACCTCGTCACGCGTCGCCTCACCAAAGGAACCGGGGTGAATGGAGTCTAACCTGTGACAAACAAAGGAAGTTGAGCCTGGTGAAGGGGGTGGAAATATATTTGGCTAAAGTATTTGTTTGATTGTTTATGTTCACTTTTTTCTCACTACCTGAATCTGTGATCAGAAGTTGGTATTAACTGGAAATAAACTAAATAAAAATCCCCTGAGCAGAGATGTTTTGCCCGTGACAGATGCTTAGGCTTTCTTGCCCATTTGGTGCTTCATTTGGTACCCATTTGGGTGACTCAGCCCAGCAAAGATCTGATTCCTGCATGTGGAGGTGTGTATCTGTCTCCAGTAAAAACTGACCAGAAGCCACAATGCCTGGCTCCCATTAGGTGTCCCAGCCGATAGTTTCCTTTAACTACTGCAACATAAAATGTCATAAAGAGCCTATTAATAGGCCAAACCTATTAATAGGCCAAAGCTACAGGAGGATTTCAAAATATTCATTATTAAATTTCAGAGGAAGAGGGAATAGAAGTTATATGTGGTAATAAAGAACTGCAGCCCAATATAAGAAAAAAATGAGCATGGATATTATTAAACACAGAGTTAAGTGATTGCCATGTTACAGGTGAGGCTTTAAAATTCAATTTTCTTTCACTACAGTTAGTAGTAAAACATGCTGTTACTTCAAGAGGGTCTGAATAGAGCCATTAAGTAGACTTGAATTGTCAGGCCATATGTTCTCGCTTCTTGTAGTATTCTTTATGTTGCAGGTATTTGTTTCTGTTTTGTGTTTGTATTTACATTTTCTAGGCCCTTTTAGTGCCCTAAGGAGCCATTTATAAGTGGTCATAATATAGTAACCTACAAAATTATAGCCCTATAAATTATTCCCTTAGGCATTAAAAGAGCCTGGGAAAATGCAAACACAGACAGACTCAAAACCTTTATTTAACAAAATTTAGGCAAAATCAGTGGTGGAAAAAAATTTATCATTTAAAAACTTGTCACATAAATGAGACATCATTGTTGTTTGGTAATATGCAATAAATACAAGTAACTACTAGGCCTTCCATAGTATTGCATTATGTCCAAACTGATGTTTTTATTAACAGGAAAAATGAGTTTTATGTAAAAACAGTGAATATTGCTAAATGACAGTGTACTTACTTATCACATCATTTACAAAGTGAAACACTTAAAAGCCAGGAAATGAATAAAGGACATCTGAAATCTTACACTTGCCACATAATAAAAGAAAATATATTGGCCTCTATTGCAATGGTATCCTAAAATATCACACTCGTTCACACACTTATTCTCAAAGCTTTTTTCTGAGATAGGGATATGATATTTTCAGTCAGTGGGAAATTGAGGCAGAAAGTAACAGATTCTGAAAGATGCTTTGCAGATGCAATAGAGACACCTGATGACTATTAGCTTCTATACCAAAGAAAATCCCTCAAGCCACTGTTGAACATAAGGCTACTTCTACAACTTACAGGAGTCCAACCAAGAGGGTGATAAACACGCTTATGCTCCCTGACTGAGCTCCACACGCAGGTTACTGGAAGCAGAGTATGTATACCTTTGAGATACACAACAACACTACTGAACATCAGGATAGTTTCAAGACCCCACCCACATTTTTGCCTCGTAATTTTGGGGCTCACCTACTGAAAGCCTCACAACCAGCTTGCATGATGTCTACCATATGGTGCTGTGGTGCTGCAAGGGTAGCATGGGCTCAAGCATTCCCCCATACCACTGAATGCCGCAAAAATCTCACATCTAACTCACGCATGTGGCCAGACACTCCCTTTCTTATACTAGGAAACAAGGAGTTGCATGAAAAACTGAATGCAAGGCCAGGAAAGCTATGATACCAACTATCTATGCTTGGCTTAAAAGTTTCCTACTGGTTTGACTACAAACTCCCCACAGAAGTTTCCTAGCATGCCTTGCCATACTTAGCTTGTGAGATTTGGCAATATCCCAAAAGGTGGTGGTATGGCCATAAATACTCTCCATTTTAAATTCTAGTCCAGTGATATTTAGTTTCTTCATGAGGAAATTTTGACTGGAAATGTAATCGTACAACACTTTGAACTAACTCTTGCGAGACGACAAATGTCTCCATGTTAATCCCAGAAACAACAACAACAAGAAAATGCCTTTGTCAGTTGTTTCCAAATGTTTTTTGACCTCTTAGACGTAGGGATTATGAATCTCAGATGGATGTGCAGCACGCCAAATATATTAACTCAAATAATGGGTGCCCTGGGGACTCACCTCTCTGGGAGCCGGAATTCATCAACAGAATGCGCTGCAGGACCTGACTTTGGCACACACTAATGTGAAATCAACCCTACAGGAAAGAACCTTAAAATTTACGTTAAATATATTTATGGACTAAATTCATGGTTATATGTTATTATTTTGGCTACATTGCTGCTGTCATAGGATCTGAGAAACGTTTGGGTCCCTCTCTCCCCTGAAAGGGATGAAAAGTGGGTGAGAAAACGCATTTTTCTCTAGGATGAGATATTGAAGAGACAGGGCATCTGCTGGAAAGTTAAATGTTTGATGGAAGAATCTGCAAGGTAAATATATTGGGGATACCTTAAGGCTCAGCCATCTGCAAAGAAATAGCTCCAGCTCGCATCAGTGGTGAAGTAAGGCCCAGAAGAGCAAGGAAAAGATATATCATAGTTTCTCCAAGAGAAGAATTTGGGCAGAGCAGGCAGGAGACAGACTGCTTAAGAGTAGATCTCCACTGAATGCTCTCCTCTGCTAAAGCAACGTGCATACATTTATACAGTTACAAAAGCTGTGCCCCCGTTTTCCGGGGCATAACAAAACGTCCCATCTCGTGTTTTTCCAGTGGGTACTGATAAGATGCCTTTGCCAACAGAAGATTTCCAATATTAGGGAGAGCCCTCAGTTCTGCCTTTCTAAATGCTTTGGCTGTATTCACAACTTAGGCAATAACACAGGCCTGAGACTGTTCTTTGGCCTTAAGGCCAACTGGCCCAGCACAGAGGATGCTGCACATCCCCTTCCCCGTCCACCCAAAACAAACAGGCTGGCAGCATCCAAACCACCTACTGGGAATGTCCCCTGGCTTTTACTGGTCTCTAAATCACGACGAGGTCTTGTCTGTGAAAGTGTCAGTTGATTTGGGCCACCGCCAGGGACTACACAAGCGGTTTTACTGTGTCCTGGCTGACTTTAACTTACTTACTAGTTATAGCCACTTAGTGCAAACTTGGACCAAGTGAAGGCAAACCAGGCATACTTAAGACCTATTTAAGACCTTCATGCTTATGAAAGCAATACTGTCCCCCTCAGAGAGAGAAAAAAAAATCTCCTAATTACACCTATGACATAGGACCACAGAAACAGACTGTCTGTAAAACCTTTTTGTGAGTTTAAAGCAAAATTCCTCCCAGATCATTTTATTTTTAACAGTAAGGGAAATATATCATTTTCAAATCCCAGCTTTTACATTCACAGAAATGAGATGCTACACGTATCATAAAATTTGTATCATTAATATATATAAGCCCATTTGCATATTAAGCATGGACTGTTCCCAAGTGTTAAGCATATATTTTAATAAATATTTTTACAAAATTAGCAGTTTTAGCAGATAGGAACTATCAAAATTTGAGAGTAGTGAGTTAATTATTATAAGTGTATGCTCAGTAAAATTCACAGAAATAAGATGTGATTTATGGCAGACTGTAGACTGACAGTTTTAAACAACTATTTTCATTTCAGAGGTTCCATAAAGAAACTAATTTACAATTGTCTGAAAATTCAAAACCAGACGTTATTAATTTTAAACAGAGCACTGAAAAGTTAAGAGCTAGAATAGACAGAGCAAGTGATATATTTAAATTAGAACACTGACTTCAACATTTCTTAGAACAGACTTCCATTGACCATCTTTTGAAATGAAGTTACCAGAATATTTAAATTAGTGTTTGTTATTATTTGTCAAGCGTCAACAACTCACTTTGCACTATGCAAAATAAAAACTCGAAGACAATCCATTCCCTGAGACTTCAATCGAGATACTGTATATTCTCATGCTACATAGACTCTTAGAGGGAACTAGATCATGCCAGTAGAAGCAGAAAGCAGCAAGCGTTTGTGTTTTACTGAAAGAGTGCATATGTTAAATGCATATTTCAGAGAACGGACTTCCTTTAGGAGTTATAATCACAGAGAGGCAACTGTATTAATTTAAAACTTTCTAACTTGACCTTTCTGAATTGCAGCAGGATTTTCGTTGGCAGCACAAGCACATGCTTCAGTTCCACATTCATCCTAAGCCTGGGTGGCTCATCAGGCTAGGACAGCTAGGGCGAGCCACAGGCAAGAGCACACACAGGAGCGATGTGGCTAGCACTGTATCTGCCTACCTTTGCTTCCAGCAGCTTGTCTGGCCATACACACACTGATGCGTGGCCTTCCACTCCTGCGTCTTGAAGCAAAATGCCTTTAGCCCTCTGACACTTCACCTGAAGAATAAATTACGTGGCATCCAAAAGAGATTTCATTAATCTTCTTAAACCTTACTGTGAGCTGCCCTGTAGTCCGCTGGAGGAATGTGCCAGCTGGCTACTGGAAAGAGATAAGAGTATCCAGACTGCACATGCTAGTTGTCTCTGCCCATGCTGAGGCTTTAGAGAAAAATATTCTCCTTGAAGATTGTCACTAGAAAATAGCTTGTTGGCATTAAAAAGTTTTTACAGCTCAAACTGTATGACCAAATTAATGTAAATAATTCATTCCCCTTTCTAGGTATAAAGTTAATAGGATATCATCTTTAATTCATAGTAATAATTCTACTGAGGAAGATTGTATATAAATCTAACATCAAATCTTGCCTGAATATTAGAAGATATATAATTTAGTTGTTATTCTGAACTATTCAGTACCCAAATATTACAGATAAGACAAGGAAAATCCTCACCCTTTCAGAACCCACAGCTATTTACATTTTTACATATATACTTTTTGCATGTTTACATATAGACATTTGTGGCTTTTTCCTCTCAGTTTTCTTTATCGTCCTCATTCCATTCTCCATCCCTGTGCCATCTCTGTTCTTCTAAGCTCTTCTCCTAGGATTATCAATCAACTTTTTAAAAAGGGAAGGCATAGAATCAGTAAACTATAATTCAGAATAAATGAGCCAAATTAAGCCATTATAACAGTTTGTGGACTATACCGCTGCGTAAGCGCTAAGCTTTTTTGTACTGAACTCCTTCTAATAACAGTGTAAAGAGTCTTCCCAGTTTTACCTTAATTGAATGAGGTTAATTGCATTTGAGACAATCAACATCTGAAACACGAATGAGTTCACTGCCAGCAATCTTAATTTCATACCTATGAGCTAAAAATTTCAGTTGCAACCTCCTGTTGTACCACGTTCAACCCTAACGTGGGTTTAATCTTTTGCGTTAGATGCAAGATGACTCTTGCAAATGGTTGCATTTCAGTAGAAAATAAACAGATTTTTACTGCATTCTTTAGAACTGCCCTTGAAGGGTGCAATCTTGAAAGGACTATTCCGTGCTGCAATGCAGTTTGGTAATACTTTCTTTCCAGAGACCACAGCTAAACCTTCTCTGTCAATACTTCAGTTTTCAGCAATAGTCATCATCCATGATGACGATAAAATATACAGGGTTCTCAGCAGACTGCGAAATGTTCCGTAAGAGACGATACAGCCCCACAGCCCCCTTATTCTAGTTGGTTCTGGTTTATATCTACCCGACATTCTTTATTTGCACGCACTCCCTTTAATACATTGTTTAAATATACCGTAAGGTTGCTGCTTTTGTAACTGTATAAATATACAACACTAGCGTAGATAATCTCAGTCCCAGTCCATTATTCAGTTGCATATGCTGGATTAGCATAGGATCTCTGTTCAGCAACTGAGTCAAGCAGCATTTTAAAAAGCTCTTTTTTTATCCTGCTTTTATGATGCTTCATCGATGAAAGAACAAAAGAAATGTCTATTTCTGAAGGCTTCATTTTCAGCAGTGTTTGCAGACTTTGACGGAATATGTAGTTCATTCAGAATGGTGATATTTTAGACAGAGGATACTTCTACTTCTAATGCTCCAGTTAGGTTTTAAGGGTTTTTGGCTTTCTTCCATTGTCAGGAAGTATTCTTTCCAAAATCATCCTTTATTAGAGCAGTGATTCCTTAAAAAGTATAGAGAGAAAAAGAGGTGAACATAATTTTCATTTTAAAATCTTTTAAGGAATAAATGAAAGGCAATTCTGCATCTGTCATCATGGCTGGATCCACGTTCCCTCCTTACAAGCAGCTTTATTGCTCTGTGTGCCATTACTCCTGAAAGAACTGCTTACACGAATTGGGAGCCCTCTCGTTATGTAACATACCATAACACTGAAAACACGGAGGGGAATAGCTCCATCATTATGTAACACACAGTCTATGAATCGTGGCTTCCTCACAATGGTCAATGCTTCAAAGTGTTTTAGTCTCTGCTGTAGTATCTCTCTGCTGGTTACTAAATATTCTAGAACAGTTTATATTGACTCCAGGGACAGCTGCTGAGGAGAAAATTCCTCGTTTCAAGCCAAATATGGAGTTCGTGGCTTAGCTCAGGAATTGGACAGTACCCAAGAATTTGTTAGCGTTTCTTCCCCCCCTCCCCCCCTTTGCTCTGAATTGTCCAACATGCCCCCTGCCTCCCCTTTCTCCCCAAAAGTCCCTCTGCAATAATAAAATTTAAAGCATAACCAGAGTGCTTATTATATAGTGAAATTTTCTTAAAGGGACAGCGTCAGGATAGCTTAGGCCTCCACTTTGGTTCTAATAAATTTTTTAGACAAAATTTAAAGTTAATGCAAGGTTTAATATGATTTTTAAACTGTCTCACTGAGAACAGCACTTTACATTTTAAAAGACCCCTAGTGTTTCTGCTTTTCGAAGAAATGTTTCATGCTAAAAAGATAAAAAGTAAAACTGAATAGATTTTTAAAAAAGTACAATACACCAGCCTACGCTCACTGCCTAAGCAGAGAAATGTAATGAAAACAAATAAAAAATTTTTGGAAATTTAATTTTTTATCTTTTTTCTTTATATTAATCCCACACTAGATACAAATATTTTCTGATGTGGCACTTACAACCTATTATCCGATATCTCTTTAAAGGAAAATATACGCCTTTTCCCTAACCATTAAGTTGCATTTGGTAATGAAAACACTAGTGTATCTTCCATAGTCCGCTAGCCAAAGAGCTATCTGCCTTTCCTATGACTAATCAAGACAAATATGCCAAGAGTATCAAAACATAAGAAATACTGACTAAATTCTTCTCCGGTCAAGAAAAGAAAATATGTTTATAAAACAAATCATATTTGTTACAGGAAATATCTCAATATGAACTTACTGTATAAAACCTGCGTTATGTGTTTGATTTCTGTCTATTTTAGCTTACTCTTAAAACACAGGAGAGCATAAGAAAGCTACAAATTCCACAAAGCTTTTAGAAAATGCAGCTTGTCAAGACAATATTACTCTGTCCACAGATAACACTTGTAAATGTCTTCTAAAAATGACATCTCATATGTCACATAAGTAACGTTACAAGTCTTTTGTGAATGACACTTTACATCAGTTCCAATAGAGGAAGAACTTTCTAGCAAGAAAAAAAAAAGAGTTTTTCAATAAAACGAGGTAATGCCAAGAATAAAAGGCAATCTGTAACTGATAACCTCCAAGGCACGGGTGACTCAAAGCAAATAATGCTTAATCTCAGTGATATGTAAAGTATTTTAAAGATTTACAGTTGGGAATATCTGAGCAGTTATGAGTTTAAAACAAATGTTCCCTGGGTTTTATTGCGAATTCTTGGTGGAGCAATGCACCTGTCTGATGTTGGTCCAGCAATAATAGCTTTATTGTGATCACTTGTCACGGGCCAGAGAGCTCTGCCTCCTGAAATGATGGTAGCAGGGCAGGCCTGAGGCACTGCTCTTAGTCATGTGCTACAGCTTTAAAAACTGCCTTTGGCACCTACAGCAGTTATCCAAATTGGTATGAGTGCTCCCTTCCTTGACAGGAAATGAACATTGACCCTTTAGGCAACTAGCAGTGATAAACAAACCTCCTGCCTGGAGCTCTGCACAGCAAAGTATTAAAGAAGAGTGGTTGCAGAGCTAGGTACCACACAAGGTACAAGCACAAGGTACCCATGGAAGATATATATCCATAAGCTCCTTTCTCTGCTACACCACACACTGAGTTTCCTTGAGCAAACGTCTTAGGCTTAGATCTCCAGGGAGGATCTTTGTGGCACTAAGTTATCTCTTCCCAGCCTACCCCTGGATGGATTTACACTTACAGGCATCTATCTGACTAGAAGGTACTTAAAAAGTGAGAGTCCCACTTCCAGACTGGTGTTTCTCTAGCCAAGTCCCTTGGGAGGTGTTACCCTGTTCTCAGGGTTTGTTCTACGCACAGTTGTTTGTGCGGACTCTCCTTTCAGAAGCAGTTTGGGATATCTCCAGATACAGTCAGCAGAAGCAATAAATGTGATTACAGAACGGCACTGACCCAAAAAGAAGACCCAGTTCCCTCCCCCCACCCAAACTTGTCCATCCCATCTTCTAGAAGTCTGTGCCTTTTTACTGTCAAACAGTCAAGATTAATCAGAAATAGAAAAAGGATACTATAGAAGAAGTCATATAAGCCTGTGGTCTAGGGAACACTCTGGAAACGCATTTTAACTCTGAGGCAGCAAGTCCCTCCTCATAGCTTAGAGCCTCTACTTCCAGAGCAGTAGGCTATTTTAGATTAAGCATCTGCTGACATTGTCTGTTGATCCTGTTTTAAAACAAAGCATTCATAACAATATTTCCTGAGGAACCCAGTCCTCTCATTGGACCATGAGTTTTATGCCTCCTGAGAGAATTCCCAGGGAAGTGAAGGCATCACAGAGCCCAGGCTGAAGACCCTCATGAGAACATAGGTGTTGACCTGCTCTGATTTTTACATCAAAAAATGCAGTCTCTTATGAGATTGGTCACTTTTAGTATTAGATAGCAGTTAAATGGCACTATATTGCCTTTGGTCCGGACTGCTATTGAAGCTGGTTGTTTGTTGCTAGTTCTACATCTCTAAAACATGAACAACAGAAGATTCCAGACCAAGTCGTGGAAGAGACTTGCAACATCCTCAGCCGTTAGGGAAGAGGATGCTCCTTTACGCTGAACGTACCCCTGCCTCCACATCTTCGTGGTGACCCTTGGCTATGCTACCAAGTTAAGAGACGTCATGAACCCTGTTTAGAAGGGGTTGAGGGGGGTTGTTTCTGTAATAAAGCAATATTTTGTTTAAAGAGTTCATTGGTATGCCGCAATACAATCATCAGTGCAACAAATGCTAGGAGACATGGGTTTTTTATGCCTAGTATGCTCTCAACTTTGTAAAATGGGGAGCCAAAAGAAGGGAAATACATACTCAAGGCTGGATGCATTCCACAGATCAGACAGTCCCATGTTCACATCAAGCCCAAGCTCCTAATTCTTGTTCTGGTCTGCACTTCAAATGCTGACAGGGAGAAACTTCATTTTCTCTGAACAAACTCGCAATGCTCCTGTTTCTCAGAGTACTTTTCGTAACACCTACAGGTTATCACCTATTAGTGCTTTGGCTTGTATAAGCATGAGGCCATGATAAAAAGGTCATAGCTTGCACATGGGGGAAAAGAAAAACATGCAAGTGTTACTGCAGTTTTTCTAAAGTGGAATCCTGGAAAAATTCATGTAAACTGTGCATAGCTGTAATGTGAAAGGGGACATTTGTTTCTTCAGAAGGAATTATTATGGTGCAAGAATTGTCTTGGCAGATAAGCAGAATAGATTTGCCCAGTGTGTAAATAACTTTCTTCGGTAAAACTTAAAGTGAATAAGTAACTTTTTGAAAGGCAAAAAAAACACTCCATCTCTGTGTCTTCCATATGATACACATACCTGTCCCTTTAAAAAAAAAAAAAAAAAAAGCAGATTTTTCAATTCTACCTTTTGACCTCGGCGGTTTTGTTTGGTTTACTGATCAGCAGAAGTTTCAAATGTCAAACCAAAAAGTATTGCTCATGAAAAGAAATCTGTTGGCAAAGGTAACTCTCCTACTGAGGTCACATTCTAGAGTTCAGAGTGTGGGAAAATAGATAGTTTTTTCCCCAGTTTCCTAAGAGATTAGTCATATAAACATTTTTTAATTACAGAAAACAGTACCCATGACTTTGCCTATTGAAATGTATTCGTCTGAGCATCCATTACGCAGTTTTACTAGACAGAATGCCTGCCCTTCGCAAATTCTGTGCAAGTGGGTCCTTCCATGTCGGCTGAACTAGGGAGGAAAGAAACCTCTCCACACGACTGCAGCTATCCTGACAGAAATTCCTCTCGAGCTCAAACCACAGGAGGTCTGTGTTTTTGGAGATGCAGCATCCAAATCTTGTCCATGCCGTTCAGCTGCATGCTATCTGTATGCAGCAATACAATGGTCATGTTAATACCCTACGTTAATGCCAGGCTGAAGCTCTCAGCTGGACCTAGTAGAAACACTGACTTCTCTATTGTGACCACAGTCTTTTACTGTGCTGTTCTCATCAACCTGTATCATTTTAGGACTCAGTCAGCAGACGATGAGATTCCAGATACAGACTTTTTTCCAATTTAATGGTGAGCATAGCAGGACATGGAACCCAGGGTTCTCATGGGTTTTAGCAAGTAACAAACATACCCACTGTCACAATGAGTCATTTTGCTGCTTGCGAGACCTCAGTGAAAAAGTCAGGTATTACTGCTTATTTTCTGTGGACAAGATGACTTTTATCTACACTATTTCATCTGTATTTTTTTTCTCTACTTAATTTGTGGTTTGTTAGGGGCAGGACTGTTTTGTTGTTTTTAAAGAAAATTTGCCATAAGTATTTTTTATTTTTCAATAGGAGATTTTAAAAAAGAAATCACAATAATTCAATAGAGATGTCAGTACAGGAAAAGAAAAAAAGATTTGCTTTTATAGCCTAAGAGGAGCTTATAACATACAGGCAGACAACTCTTCAAAAGAATGAACAAGACAAAAAAAAAAAAAAACAAGTTTTCCTACCAACAATTTTTTAATGGATTTTAACACTCAGCAGGTTGAAACTATTTAGTCCTTTCTCATGATTTGCAAGTAGGTCCATCATATACTGAAAAAAAAAAAATTGATGAATGTATCACCCTGAAGAACACTAATGCATGCATTATTCATTTTGCTTGAGCTTGTTTGAAATGTCTGAGTGAAGAGGAACTCTAGCAGGTACTGTTTCATTTCACCGCTTACAGAGCCTGCAACCTGACTGCAGTAAAATTTACAGCACTGGGCTCTTGTATGATTAATATTTTACTGCCCTAAGGATCTGCTGTTCTTTTGGTACCATTACACAGATGCATAGGTTTCTGCTGGATACCACTCTGAGAATTCACATATCATGAACTTAAAGCTGAAAATGTTTCCTTAAACTATGTTTTTCATATTATATATCAGCTAGTGGGAGACATTCTGTGCAATTTGTAGAAGAGCTCTTTTGGAGGCTACTGATACAGCTCTAGCTAAGAAATCATGCTAAGATTAATCTGTTCACGTCTGCTTTTCTATAACTTAGAGCTAGATAAGCCCCCCTCGTGAAGGGACTCCTAGGAATCCCAGATAAGTAAGTGAATAAAAATACTCAAGTGAGGTCTCCCTCACTAAGTTATCAGGTGTAGCAATGGAGAGGTGGGAACACCATAGCACATTAACTCTGACACCTCTTTGCTATTCCTCTTAGAATTCTTCACCATGGGAAGTAGAAAGTGGCTCCACAAAACCAAAATAAGACTACTTGAAAGAGCCCTTCTGCTCACAGAAGACAGAAGGCAAATGGGGAAATGAAATGTGAAGCCATAATACACGTATGTCATTGTCTACCTGCAGCAGCCCTCTCCCCTCCTCCTCAAATATACAGCAAAAGACCTATGGAATACAAGCAGAGTCATAAAAGAAAGTGATGAATTTTGAAAATGGCTTCTTCTGAAAACAGGGATGGCGATTTAGCACAAGAAAGCTTACCCTCCTGAACAGCCATGGCGGAAACTATGTCCTTCTTCCTGCTCCAAATTCTATAGGGACGATTAAAGTTTCATGGTAGATCTGTTAGAAGAAGAAAATTTTGCTAAAGTAGTGTACAACTATACGTTAAATGTGAATTTCTGATTTCTTTGCATTTTTCCATTCGTCACGTATATGCGATTAGAAAAGCTCCACACATATTTTTAATTAAAATATTCAATGTTTGACTATTAAAACAAAATTAGCAAAGCTTTGTATTATACAGTGCTGGAATTGTATGTAATTAAGAGTAAACAAGATCAGTTGTCCCTGCTGATATCTAATATGCTTTTATAATAACCAAACAGAGGCAGACTTTGCTTTCGGGAAATGAACAGTATACACAGTAATGAAAAACTGTGACTGAAAACTTTGCTGTAGAGCTTTAAGTTTTAACAGAACTGAAAAGACAAAACTTTTTTATAAAAGATGTGATCAAAAAGCAGACATGAAACCCTTTGATTCGAAAGATCCTTGAAAACAGATCATTATTTAATGAAAGCCTGAGGTGCTGGTAACCACCAGCCACCTAGACCCTACCATGATGGGACTCCTGCTTGGGAGTAATCACAGATGGTATCGGCTGACGAAAGCACAAACTAGAAGGAAAAAAGACCATTTCAATTTTAAACAGCACATTAACCACATATTACTTCAAAAACTAAAAGTTTTCCAGAGCACTAAATAAATCTTAAAGATGGCAGTTTACTAGAGAGAGGTGAAACCTAACCAAATTTTAAAAATGTAAATGTACTAAAAATATACATATAAACATAGGTGTGGCATGGCTAGATAGGCCCATCATCAGTACCTATGTAGGATTAATTCTTGAAATATGCCTTTATTCTTTTAATTACAAAAGAAATCTTATTACATCTCACCAAGTTTGGTCAGGTTCTGGCTGTAAATATCTTTCTCTTTTTGTCCTAAACTGGACAATCATCTCATTACTGTGGGCTGAACTTTCAGACCATGGACACCTAGTATTTCATGTTATATACAGCTTATATTATTTAAAATTTTATATATCCTATACTTCATTATATATATGCATTGTATTATATTTAGAAGATTATTTATACTGTATTATATATTTACTAGGAGGATGAAAATTTAGCTAGGAATACAAGTGATAAGACCGTGCTCTGAGAGAGCGTTACATACATGTGCATTGACTCAGAAGTAAGAAAGACTTACAACAGTTCTCTGTGGCTTAGCCCAGAGAATCTTCTTTTTTTCCCCCCCTCAAGCTATTTGATAATGTTGTTGTCAGATGCTGCAGTTAAGACTAACATAACAGACAGGCTGCATATAATTGGCACAATTCTGTTTGTACAACACATGACTGAAGCAAGTGTAACTAGTGTAACTACAGATGTCGATCCACAGGACAGTTAGAATTTCATCTGCGTTGATGTTGCCCATACGTTTCTTCCAGATATGAAGCTAGCTCTTCTGTAGTGATTGGTCACCACTTCAAGAAGAAAATACTTCCTGTTGATTATTACTCCTTTCTTTATCTGTTCATTTCTTTGGCTGCATATTTTCTTTTTCTGCCTTTGATGCATCTTCCTCTACGCCTACGTTTTCATCTCTAAGACAAGACTACAAATGCACGGAGGATCAAAAGCACTCATGTGAAAGTAACCACATTTCTGAGCCAAACTCATGCAGCCAGTCAATGCTAATGCTGAAGAGGGAATGGAGACCAGCCTGGTAGAAGCAGAAATAGGACCCTCCTGATGGTTGTCTCACAGTTACCCGTTATAGGAGAAGCCCATGTCCTAACACCACTCAAGAAGTATTATAGGGTTACATAGGCAAAAGTCAGCTACAGGCATCTTGAACTCCAAGATGACAAGACATCACTTTAAAATAACCTCTCTGTTTTCAGACAAATAAACACAACACAGAGACAGAAAAATTCTACTGCTTATGCTTACCTAGATAGCATTTCCATGTCCTCAACAGACGCTTGAAGTATTTTCTCTGGTTTTGGACTATTAACTTCTTTTATATATTTATGTGGAACAAGTGACATCCAGCGGCTGGTATAGTCAATTACTATCCAACTCTCAAGCCTTCAATTTTTGAGCCAGGTGCTCCAGCATGCATATCTTTCTCCCTTCCTTTCTCTGCTCCCTGCAAGTATCTTTAGTAAGTCAACTAGTTCTTCTGTCTGAAGAGAACTCCTTCAAGACCCTCCCAGAAGAATCACATGCGAGAATGACAGAAGCATTAGAGAGAGAGAGCGCCCAGATCTCATTTGATCAAGATTTCTGATATTCAGTTTTGCAATACCATTTGATCACAAAGCCATTTATGCTGAAATTTATTTTAATCACCCCAAGGAACCCAAAAGCTAAAACTCAACTTTCTAAAGGTATTCCAACTAAACTTGCTACCTGTCTGTGATATGCATCAAGTCTCAAAACACTACATAGCATCTCATCAAAAAGCACATACTAACACAGTTGAATTGACTAGGAGTATTTAGAAGTTGTTTCTGAAAAACCCCAGCATGACATTGCTGGGACTGGGAAGGGGAACACAGACACAGCTATAAGTATTCTCCCTGGGAAATATTGTTATAAATATTATCATTATAAATAGTAATAAATATCTGACCTTCCAAGGTTTGTTTATATTTATATACTACATTCAGAAGCATTTTTATGAGCTCAAAAATCAAGCCTTTCTGTACTAACTGGACCTGCAGAGACAACGCTGCCTACAGAACTAGAAAATCATCTCTACTTCCTTACGCTGAAAGAAAAACTTATACAGAGTACTTCTCAGTAACAGCAGATAGACAGAATTTACACACCAAGCAAGAGGGAATTGGTCACATCTCCAATCTGGACACTCTGGAATGAGCCCAGTAAAACAGAAGATCTCCTATGACAGTCTCAAGCATAAGGTGTAACTTGGACTTATAATACCTTGCTGTTCTGTTTACAACTGATATCAGAACTTTCTGAAAAAAAAAAGAACACAGTGCTGAAAAGAAGCTAAGATCCCTTAAAAGGGCAGCCACTGATCATTTGTTTTACACTAATCCTTGCAGTTTTCACATATCATATTATTACCAAACAGCTTTGAGACAGCAAGCATTTATTTTATATTATTTTACGTTATTTTATTTTGTTACTAATTAGTAAGATAGACTTGTCTCCAGTTAAGTGACAGAAGAATGTTAAAAAGTATATGTAACAGATTGAAAATTTTTAGTAAATTTTAAATAAACATTTGATAAAATACTCAAATAAAGTACCCTGGGGCTCAAAGTCATCAAATCCAAAAAAAAAAAAATACAATCAAGCATTTTAAACTCTGGGTTTTTTTCCCCCCCTATCTTGACATAGCCTCTCTATATGTTCACCATGTATGCACAAACTTCTTATTTTTGCTGTAGCTGATACTTAGAGTAAGGAACTTCAATTTTTGCTATGTAAATAGTAGCACTTACATTTTAAACTCTTACCTGAGAATTTTCAAGATTTCAGGATTTAAAATAAGAAAGTAATAGACATTGCTGCCAGAGAGAAAGAAACAAAATATGTGAAGTCATAGAAGAAACAATGCCAGAAAAAACACACCAGAAAGCTTTAATGCCACATTAATACTTAGTAATTTTAGATCCCATGCTAATATGAAATGTTAAAAGGTACAAGTTTGCCTAACACATCACAGAAAAACGTAGGAAGAAATATCATAAGACCAAACAATAGAGTCGGAAGAAGCAGCAAACCAAGTTTTCAGGCTGATATACCCTTCAAGTCTGAGATGATGGTCATTTCTGACTTGGAAAAAAACGAGGTCTGAGAAACCTAGTAAAAGACGTCAACTCTCCCTTTCATTCTTACTCTGTTATGATAGCAACAAGCCACCAAAAGATAGCAAAAACCAATTCCCCACGAAGGAAAGACCCTTTTCGGAAGCCTATGCCATAGCTATTCCACTACACATTCTGCACAAGGATTGTTTCTCAGTGGTAACGGGAACATATGCTAAGCCAAAGAGCGCTAACTTAGGCAGTTCTGGAAAAAGGGTTCAAAAAAAGCTCTAAATGTGCAACCAGCAGATACATATATGCCATGGGTGTTTAAGCAAAGACATGTTTGTAGAGATAAGTACCAGCTGACACCTGCATTTTGCAGCTCTCATTTATAAACACAAATATACATACACGCAGAGTCTCACCCCGTGACTGAACCTCAACAGCATTTACTCCTACTCATTTTTAATAAAGGGAGGCAAAAGTTCAGCATTAAGAGATACAGTTATTTTGTGACAACTCATACTATGTATCCTGAATGCTTATGTAGTGCTTGGAGCGACAAAGATCCTAACTCCTCTTGTAAAGTAAAGATATTTCCTTTACAGGGCAGCCATAAGGCAAGCTAGGAATCTCCGTCTCATCGTACTGAGCTTTCCCTGGGACACAATGGCCTGAATCACACTATTCAGCAAAAATGTTTATGGGGCTTGCTTTTAAGCCATCTCTTATTCTGGCCCACACAAATCTTTTCTACACAAGAAACATGACCCAGGAAGGAGATAATTTAACCATTTATAAGAAAACACAAATTTCATCTTTTAAAGAATGGATTGATTTATTCTTCTGTTTGTGAATAATGAAATAAAATACTAACAGTTCCTCTTAGAAGTTCTGAAAGTTGTGGATATAGCATCAAATGCACGATATGCTGGATAAAGTATCTTGTCCTGTCTTTATTTTAATGACTTTCTAATATACAAAGAGCAAAATTTTCAAAAACAGAAAAAGCTGCTTTAGATGCCCAGCTCCTATTTATCTCTGTTCCCTTCATATTATATTTGTATTTCATCATAATTTAATGCCTGCAAACCAGGATGATAATTTTTTTTTCATATTTCCATTCCTGTTAATCATGGCCACCTCCTCCGACACAGAATGCAAGTAATATCTGAATGCAAGAAAATATCTGAAAGCAATTTTCACCTACAAAAAGAATCTAATAAAAGTTATACTGCAAGTTCATCAGAATAATTCCAAAATAAATTACAGCTATTCTTAAAAGTAAAAGCCATGTGGGAAGCAATTCTTTGAATTAAACAGACAAAAGGGTGACAGATGATGTGAATGAAGGGACAGAGTGCACCCTCAGCAAGTTTGCTGATGATACAAAACCAGGAGGAGTGGCTGATACACCTGAGTGCTGCCATTCAAAAAGATCTCAACAGGATGGGTAGAGAATGAACTTCACGAAATTCAACAAAGGCAAGTGCAGGGTCCTGCACCTAGGGAGGAACAACCTCAGGCACCAGGACAGGTTGGGGGTTGACCTGCTGGAAAGCAGCTCTGCAGAGAAGGACCTGGGAGTCCTGGGGGACAACAAGTTAACCATGAGCCAGCAATGTGCCCCTGTGGCCAAGAAGGCCAATGGGATCCTGGGCTGCATTAGGCAGTGTGTTGCCAGCAGGTCGAGGGAGGTGATCCTGCCCCTCTCCTCAGCCCTGGTGAGGCCTCACCTGGAGTACTGTGCCCAGTGCTGGGCTGGGCCTCTTTAGCCTGGAGAAGAGAAGACTGAGGGGTGACCTGATCAATGTGTACAAGTATCTGAAGGGAGGGTGTCAAGAGGATGGGGCCAGACTCTTCTCCGTGGTGCCCAGCGACGGGACGAGAGGCAACGGGCACACAGTGGAACACGGGTAGTTCTGGCTGAACCTGAGGAGAAACTTCTTTCCTGTGAGGGTGCCAGAGCACTGGCAGAGGTTGCCCGGAGAGGCTGTGGAGTCTCCTTCCCTGGAGATATTCAAAAGCCATCTGGACGCAATCCTGGGCAACGTGCTCTAGGTGACCCTGCCTTGAGCAGGGGGGTTGGACTAGAAGATCTCCAGAGGTCATTTCCAACCTCAACCGTTCTGTGATTCTATGAAGGGAGTTGATATTACCTCTGTTTGGAAATGGAAAAATAGGAATGAATTTCACTCTGGAAAAATGCTTTGGCATTTCCTGCAAAGTACATAAGTCTTCAGGCATTGTAAACTTTATGTCAGACTGATCAAAACCTGAGCTACTTTCCTGTCCTTACCTAATATATTATTAGCTAAGTCTGGCTGAGGTTCAAATCAGTATAGTTTGAAGATTTAAAAAAAAAAAAAAAATACATTGCTTGAAAACTAAGGCTCAAACACTGACTTTGTCTTTTCCCCAAAAAGTATGTTGTTCAGGCGCAAAAGCACTGATTATGGGAACAACAACTTCTCAAAGACAGTCTTGTAGATATTAGAACTTATTTCTGAATTAAAGACAGACAAGTAGGCTAGAATGCATATACAGCTATTTCCAGTCAGAAGTCGTCTTGCTCATGTCAGGACCTGATACAGGTTTATTGAAAACTTATAGTAGAACATGGCCTGAAAAAAACACAAAACCAGCATTGAAGAATTTTGGAGACTAAATGTGTTCCTGTTCCTGAGCCTTTTTAAATAGTTGAGAATTTTAAAAGTAATTAATTTGAGGAGAATGCACACACAGAAAGAATGCAGTAAGATTACTATTTATTTAAAAATTAATTGTTGACCGTAAGCCAATGTATATTTTCTCAGAGGGAAGGTCAATACCACACCTATTCACACACTTAGATTCAGTTGTTCAGCCCAAAACTACAAAGCTGGTCCCTGATCAGAATGAAAGAGAATCAATTCCTATGAAAATCAAACTCATCTCTCAAAAATATTCTTATTTGTCATGCATAGACAAAAGACATAAAACTTCAGATGCTGCCTTCTTATCCAGAGAGGTATACTGCAATTCACCAGAGAGACCAACCCAATACATTTGCAGGATAACCAGTGTAAGTCTTTTTAACTCCAACATTACGCTATTTGTTACACTGAACTGTTCGAACTCTATTAAAATACTCATTTTCACTGGCACTTCAGCTTCATCACAGCGTTGTTCTGCTCAGCCTTTTAATAAAATCCATTTTAAAAAACTCTGGTTTAATCTGAGGAATTACAACAAAGGTCTAACATGAAGACTAAGGTAATCTCAAGGCAATAAACTTGGGTCAGTTTCCAAATTAAAACTAAAATCCCTTTACCCAGATCTTTAATGAACACACGAAATTTACAGCTATCTTAAGGAGCAGATCAACAGTTTTATGCTAGAAAAGGGTTAGATGCTAGAAAAAGCAACATTTTAGGAACAACTGTAATGGTCAGCTTACAGCAGAAAAAGGTTGAAAAGTATAAGTGCTACTAGTTGCCAGAGAGACTAGAACTAATTTATAGAATCAGCCCAGATCTTCTCAGCTTTTTACAGCTACATAAGAGATATGCCCTCTGAGAAGCCACCACATCCAGCACACCTTCGAAAAGAACAAGCACTTCAACAAAGATAGGAAGCTCTTTTCCAGCTTGGTAGCACAGTTATAGATACAGGATAATAAGGTGGGGCTACAATATGGTTTCCTGTAAGTTCAAATCCACAAAAAATACATAGGTTACTACCTCCTTCTCAGGCCAACGGAAATTAGATGCCTTAGCAAAACCGAAGTATTTAAATAGTAAATGCCATCATGATTTCATACAAACCCAAAAAGGTATAAGAAGGTTAAAAGGCAACCTACCTAAAAGGTATCTACTCTTGCTCCATTACTTGGC